CACAATAACGTAATTGAACAAAACATTAATGTATCCATGTTCGATATTTTGTCCTTGAAAGAACCTCATACATTAGTGTCAGCAGAAAATAATCGTTTCTTTGCTTTTTACTTATTCAGGTCATTCTAAAAGACATGAATTTGAAATGAAGGGTAGTGTCAATAAACATTACTTTGAGATCGAAGGTGAAGGAAAAGGAAAGCTTTACGAGTAAGTGTCTCTTAAAAGACAGACCACGATGAATTATTTCATTATTATCTATAACAATTTGGTTTTAAGCACAGAGTTGATTAAGACCACATTGCAGTTGTCATGTAAAGGCCTGATATTCAAGTATCAATGATTTTAGGAACGACAATTGTCGCAAACGGACCCATAATGGGAAAGAGGACAATTGGCTGGGACCTGTCCTTTGAGAAAATGACCGTCTCCAACAATATATTGAGAGGTGATGTGACTTTGTTCCTACTACTCAAAGGAGGCGATTATCACAGGTGCCAGTTTCACACTTCTTACAAGTAAGTATTTTGTTTCTGTAAAAGCTTCAATGGTTGAATATTGTTAGAATTGATTTCTCTAACACTCGTTTGTGGTTTGGTTGATCCTTCTTTATTTACTTTTCTTCCCAAGTTGTTACAATGGGGACTAGCTTCAATATAACAGGGAAAACTAGAGTCTCCGCTTATAAAGGTGTCACTGCGGATGAAATTTCTAAGCCGTCAATCTTCTTGTGTCGTCATCGTGCCATCTCAACTAGCGAATCACGCTGGACTACGTATTTTAGTTCCCACATACTGAGTAAGCACCTTAGGGTTGTCTACGCAGTTACAAAATCAATTTCTTCCCTAATTTTCATATCTTTACGGTTGAGATCGGCCAGAACGGAAACGAGATCGACAATATAAAAATTACAAATAACCTTGGTGTAGAGTATTATTTATACCTGAAAGTGTATCTTAAGAGAAAATCACCTTTAAAGATTGTTACATAACAACATCTTGGTCACAAGAGTTAAAGAAGAAAGGCTCTCACAAGTACCGCCCCCAAATTGCTTCTTGTTGCGAAACATGAGGGGTATCACCTGTTTATCCTTAAATTACCTCTGGGAACACGAAGGCGACCTATTACCAGGGAGATTTACTCTTCCTGGAGTAACAAATTAACTTATTTAAGAACATGGCTCATCACGAGTTCCATGTCAACCTCACGATCACAACGAAGAAAACGTGATTAAACTCACTAGGTGAACGTGGCCAAACTCACAAGAAGAACGTGATTAAACTCAACCTTCAAGATAAGACCACCAAGAAGGAGTACGACGTAATCAACCTGCCCTTTTTATAATTTACATTAAATGACTAAGAATAAAATAATATTTCCATTCCTTTTCTTTCCAACACCAATACAGGAAACCCTTACGATATTGTAGATTAACTATAATTGTAATTTTATCATTTAACATATCATTCCTTTTAAGGATCTGGATCTCATCTTCTGTGTTTTATGAGATGAAAAGGGCCTTGACAGAACGGCTTAATACTAATTTCCCTTGTCAATAAAATGTTTGGGATCGAATAAGATTCTCCACAAGATACTAAAGGTTATCTATTATAATATCCTTTACAGCTTAGAAAATATGTTTCCTTCCCTGTATTTATTAGTAAAAGATGTTCAGGGAGATGAAAAAATAATCATTATTAATACAGGTAATTGTGGAACTTCATTGTACCAAAAACAAAGTTAAAAAACATTGATGTTCATAAAACAAGTAAAAACCCAACGCCGATAGAAAACGTAAAATAAATATTTTGTATTTTTATAAGTATTTTTCTCCTTTCTATTTTTTTTTTGCACAGAACAGAGGAGCCGGTCACGCTGCCTCAGAACCACGTCGTAGAACATAGCATTATGAGAACCGACCTTGATGACAAAGACGGCAAGAAGGTCCAGCTGGAAGAAATTGCTGTGGCTCATGTTAACCCTTTGTAACTGGGATGGAAGTATTTTCATTATTTCATTACTTTCTGACGTTATTGTAATACGAATCAGGTCAGTTGAAAAATAAAACAAAAACATTGATGATCAACTGTGTAGTGTCACCCTCTCAATTTGTACAGTCATAAATAGTCCCTGAGACTTTAAAATGGCTGCAAATGTGTTGTCGACTCATTCAAAGCTTCAGTTTTTTAATAAATACCTTCACTTACTTATCATGCTAGCAGCTACTTCCAATCTTTCCAAACAGACATGGTTTGATGCTACTCTGGTTAACAGATTTAATGAATGTAACCGAAGAAGTTACAATTCATAGACCCAACGTTTCGACACTCCTGTCTGTAATTTAAACGCTGCAACAAAAGGTCCTTTTATACGATCACTAATTAGCTGCCTTTTTTCTATCGAGGTGTAAATAGGTGTCAGGATGTAAAGGTTTATGAATTGTAACTTCTTCAGTTACATTCATTAAAACTGCGAACCAGAGTGACATCAAAGCATGTCTGATTGTCCACCTAGCTGCCATGGGAACTTCAATATGTCTTTCCGAACAGTTGTCCTCCTCCCTAGCTAAGGGGCATTAAGCGAGTCAATTGTTAATCATCATTAGCCACCAAAAAATTGAGACAAGACTTATGAGAAATTGTGACTTTAGCACCTCGGAACCTACAAAGTGATTTACATTTACTGAAATCCCTGATAAGAGCAACTGATTTACATCTCTGTTTTCGATTCGTGGTAGTGACATCATAAATCTCATACTTTCCGCAGTCAGTTCTTACCACCATATTACAAGTTTAAAGCGAATAGAATGAGTTAGATACCCGTGAATACCCAAAATGCAAAAGAGAAAATACCGAGGATGCCAAATAGAGGCTTCTACTTCCTTTTTTTAAATTTAGCTCGTTTAAGCAAAGAAAGCAATAGTTAGGAGCTGAAATTAAATGTAAACAAGGTCGCTACAGAGAGTTAAGACCGCTCAGAATGTAACTCAAACAGCACTTTTCCTTTGCATATTTATTGGAATACCTAGATTAAGGTTTATATGCGAATTCGAAATGTACACTGCAATTGGTTAGCGAAAAATATGCTACATGAGTACATATCGAAAAGATTTCTGGCCGGGCACCCCGCTAACACGGGACACGAACTTGTGGTATCAAGGGAAAGCATTGACACAAGTGCAAGCGTTACCTTTATCTTTTCCACTGTATTAGAGCACCCAGGGGAGTGGACATATAGTACCGGCAGCAATATTCCTTACTTTTTTCGGGATCGGGCGAAACAGCCCCCCTCCTTCGTCAGGGTTGTTCAGCCGATCTCCACAGCACTGACCAAGTAGACTGAATGTTTAAGATGTAAAGAGGGCTTTTCAGCAGTCGTCATCCTCGTTGGACTAACCTTAAATTGTCTCCTACGTGCTAAACTAACTTCAGTGCCAAAGTTAATAGATAACTCCTTAAATGTGTTTTTATCTGAACAAGTGCATTTGAATGGCTTGATCCAAAACCTTTTCTTTATTAAATAGACAGTCAACGATTTCATGTCATTTGAAGAAATAGTTGAAAAAAACTAACCGACTTTTCTCGCCTTATTTTCCT